CCTTTGTAAATTTTTTGGCTTTTAGTTTGAAGGTTTTGAGGGAGGAGGAGTTTTTCATGTGTACATGTGCATGGTTTTAATATAGTCCCTGAAGAAAGGCATCTGATATATGTTCTCTGCCTCTCTGTAGCTCACTTTAGATACTTGTCATTTCTTGTTGCTCTGTCACTTTCCAGACTAGTGCTGATGTGTCAATCTTTTCTTGTGCAGAAAGCCTTATCCTACCTGCTTGCTCTTGGTTACTTTTATAGTCCACATTTGAATCTTTATTCAAGATTTGAGTAAAGATTTTTTGAGACCTGTAGCCAAATCAAAGTTTGAACATAAGGGGATTTTGACTGGCACAGGTTGCCCAGGGAGGCTGTGGCTGCCCCAGCCCTGGCAGTGTTCAAAGCCAGGTTGGCTAAAGCCTTGAGCAGCCTGGTCTGATGGGAGGGGTCCCTGCCCCGGGCAGGGAGTTGGGACTAGATGATCTCTAAGCTCCATTCCAACCCCTAAAATTATATGATTCTATGACTGATAGAGCACTGTAACATATTCTGGGTTTATTCATTGTTTCTTGTTCAGTGATGCCTCTACCTTTATTCATTTTCCTCATTGGTGTTTTATACTGAACTGCTGTCAGTGGCAGACCCAATGGACACACAGCTGTGTGAGAAGGTACTGCTGGGAGTTCAGGTGCAAATCTGTAACTGTTCCTTTACTGCCTAGCAGCAGTTGCACTGAAGGTTTATATAAACTCTCCAGTCACTATATATATATATAAACTCCAGTTCTGCATCTTTTCTCTTCTTGAAGTATGTGTGTCTCCTTACAACCAAGGAGCTTGGCACTGAACCTGTACCATGATCAAAAGCTTCAGTATCTCCAAAGGCTCATACAACCAGCTGCAGTACTGACTGCCTGCACTTTCTTTAAGAAGAAAGGAGTGATTATTTTCTTCTTTTGTTTTACCATATTTGCTTAACAGTGACAGGAATTACACAGGAAACTGGAAGTGAAGGTTCAGTTCACTTCTCTGCCTGAAAGGTTTGAACCAAAATCTGCTGCCTGGCTGTGTGCTGGGACAGGTGCACTGTGGTGGGCTGACTTTGTAGCACTGCTGTTGTGGGAGCAGCACTGCTGCAGAAGGGAATGAAGGGGAAGTGGTTTGGTGTGCAGATCCCAGGGAGATGCTGGCACTTTGCTGCAGCCCTGAGCTGTGAGCCCTGAGGCTCATGTAGGAAACACTGTGGCTCATTGTCTCTCACTCACCATCTCTAGGTAGCTCCCCTAAAGGAATTCACCCAGCACCTCTCTCTTCTGTGCTGGCACTCTAGGACCCCTCTGAGGTGGCTGGCAGTCCCACTGCTCCGTTCAGGGTGTCTGTGTATCTCCTGCTGTGTTCTTAATGCCCTGGTGCTTTCTGCTGCAAGTCCTGACACCTTGTAGGTCTGGGAAAGGTACAGAATTGCCTTGGAGTCTTTCATTAGCACTTACATTGCATTCAGAGGTGGGTTTGTTTTGGTTTTTTTTGCAGGCTTCAGGGTCGTATGTTTCTTTTCCTACAGTGTTCCTCATCTTGCACTTGTCAATGGATTTAGTCTCTTAGCCACAGTAAAGGTTACACGAGAAACAAACTTTTTCCAAGGGTAGCTTTGTGGTCAGAGCATGGTCAGACCTGACAGACATAATGTGTATCCCATTTCTTTTTTTGCATGTGAATTTTTAAAGAACTTGCTAGTTTTCTGTTAGAGAATTGTCTTTCTAATTCAGGTGCCTGTCTGTATATGATATGCATAACTCTGAGCAATGGCAAGTATTGTGTAAAAAGCTGGGTGGGATTTATTAGCTGAGCTAGCATTGACACAAGATTCAGCACTGAATGCCAACATTTCACTCTTTGGTACTGCTTTGAAGTTGCTAAATGGATACTTAGGCATCTAGGGGCATGGAGTGGATACAACAGCGTTAAAGTTAGTAGGGACAGGGCTTGGAGTCACTTTCTTTGTGTAAAGCTGCTTACAACTGTGTTTTTCAAATACATGTAAAAGCAATACTTGATTGGACAGTTTTACCTTAACTATTAAATGTATCTTGTTGTTCATCTCCGTAAGTGAGATGTATTTAGGGTAGGAATAAAACAAAAGTACTGGAAGGCCTTTGTGAACACATGAGACTTGGGATGTCATCTTGTGGTTGTTCAAAGAAATGCAAGAACAGATTGTAAGTGTGGATGAGTTTACTGCTCCTTTACTTCACACTGAGCTCGTATAGGTGCAGATTTCTCTTGTGAGCTATATGATGATTCTTTCTTTGTAAAGTACATGACAGTAGCTGTTAACCTCCTTACAGCCCATGTCAGTAGTCAGGGTTTGGGGTGACTACAGCAAGCAACAGATAGGAAGTCACATGCTGCCTAGAGACTTGAGTGCATCAGAGAGTGCAGCTCCTGGTGTTTGAACCTAAGTGATGGCAGAGGCAGGAGGACTCTGACACACTGCTGTTAGTTACCTATTTTTTTGTTAAAATCACTTTCAGTTTAGCTTTAGCCTTTCCCTGGCTGTTCCAGCTGGCTAGCGTCTCGTGTTTGAAGGGCATGCGGGAGCAGAGAAGAATAACATCATCAAACGTTTTCTTTTCCCTGTACAGAGAAGTCATTTAGACACAGATAACATTTTCTATGAAGCACAGAGCCTGTACACTGGGGACCTAGTGATGTGGGTGCAGCCAGCCCCATCAGCTCACAGGCCAAAGTATGGGTCAGTTTATCCGTTTAGGCAAAGCAAACCCATAGGAGGAGGAATTCCTGGGGTTATTTCCTGGAATAAGGAATAGTGATATTAGGCACATCTACATTCTGCCTTCTTCTCTGTGTCCTCAAAGGCCATTTGCCTCAGTTGCTGGTAACTGGAGCAGTTCAGAGCTGGCCTGGTCAAAGTGAACACCCCAGTCACGAGTACACAGCATAAAGTTGTTCCCAACACAGGACTAAATCTTTGGTAACTGTTCCAACTAGGCAAAAACCTGTTGCCTGTTGGAGCTGTGCACAGCAGCTGCACCAGGGCTTAGAGGTTTGACTAGCATTGTATGTAAATATGAACGATCACATTTTCTTTTCTGGTGAACATGTGTTGTCTTTTGTTTGTGGCTGGAGCAGGCTGGCAGACAGAATGGCTTTGCAGACTTTTCAGCTATGTTTTTAATAGCACTGCCTAATTGTAGTGAAACTATCAAGCCTTTGCATGCTTGGACAAAAAGGCATCTGGAAGAGGGTGAACTCAACTGAGAAGGGCAGTACCTGACACTCTTCAAATGCTCCGTGAACAGGCTTGCTTGGATCTCTGCTCCATTTCATAATTGTTTTCTGGGGAATGCCCTTTGAAGTTAAATGCTTTCTAATTACAACCCTTACAAGCAACACACTTTCTTGTCTTACATGAAAACAAGGTTGCTGTGATTTTTACCATTTGTCAGATTTATGGCATTGATTGAGACAGATTTTAATAGTGGATGATCAAACATTAGCTCATGCAAATTGCTGGTTATTTCTGGAGTGCTATTTTGTCATTAGTGGAGGGACAATCCATCTGGATGGTGATTAGTTCCAGCTCTGAGCTTTCGTTCATAGGTCAAGATGCTTGAGAGTTTCCGAACAACGAAAAAATAAGGGTGGTGTTATATTTTAGACAGGATGGTTGTTGCTTCTCCTCTCTAGCCCATGGGACTTCACATTCTGGACATTATTTCATGTAATACCTTTCCCCTAGCTTCTGCAAGAGAATAAAGTCAGTGTAATTTACTTATTTTGCCTGACAAGTGCATGCTTATTTTACAGTACTGTTTTATAAGAAAGTGTTAAGTGTGTCACTAAATACAACAGAGGTTTTTCAAGACTAATTAATTCTTGCAGTTATTTTTGTCATCTTTTTAAAGACAGCTGAAGTCTTTATCCAGTCAAGAGTGACAATCATACAAAATGCTGATTTCAGGTTCTGCTGTAAATCTCCTACATTTCCAGGACCAGAGGATGGTTGGAGATGCTTCTGCTTCAGCTCTTCATAAAAGTGAGGTGAAATCCCAGACTATAAAGTGATTTTTAGTGTGGATTATATTTTATTCTGCTTCTTTTCATAAAAGTGAGGTGAAATCCCAGACTATAAAGTGATTTTTAGTGTGGATTATATTTTATTCTGCCTTTGGGAGAGGAGACAGAGGCAAAATGAGATACTTCCCATGTGCAGATCAGATTTCAAACAAGGGCTGAATTTGGGTCATGTAGCTTATGTTTTGATTCAAGATCACCTCTAAATACAAGGAGTATAGTGAAAATAATAAACAGATTTAATTTATTTAATAATTTCCTAATTACGAATACATTAATTAGAACTTTGTGCAGAAGTATTTCCTTGTTCTTCACTATGAAGATAACAGTAAAATATCTTCGACTCCAGCTTTGTGGCATATAGACATTATACAGTCCCTAGAACATTGTAGTCTTGTAATAGATGAAGAAAACTGGGAAATTGCATTTTACTTGTGGATAAGTTTATTTAAACATTTGTAAATTATGCTAAATAGAGTATTATTTATTTCTATGCACATGCAGTTGTTGTCCAGATATATATAGTGTTGTCAGATCTACAGTGCAGTAATTAAGTATTTGAAGCAGCATGATCCTGAAAACTCTTCTAGAAACAATGTCTGAGCCTTCTTTGATTGCACTGTGAAGTTTCTTTGATACACATAAGTAGTGGTTGTTTCTCTCCAAGTTAAAATGCAAAGTTTCAAAGTGTGCCCAATGAAAGGAATTCTCAAAAGGTAGAATACATTAAAATCCAGAGACATCAACAGCAGGAAGCCTCCTGGGTGATTTTTATGAAAAATCCAGTTGAAAAGCAAAGAAGTCAGAACTTTGCCATGCGCAGATACTACTGAGGTAAAAAAAAATGTACACGAAACATAAGGGGGTTTATCCTTTGTGTTTTAAAAACACCTGTCATGACCTCTTGAACCTTGCTTAACCTTATTGAAAGTCTTAATTATCTATTTTACAGTTCTAAATACAAGCAGGTACAAAGGATGGAGAGCCTTGCTAATTTTGGTCCACAGCCTGAGGCAAAAACTCAGCGCTATTTGAAAAGATGAGGTAAAAAACTCTTCTTTAAATTGGTTTCACAATCTTCATTGACAAGTAGTTCTGTTGGGGGAGGAGAGAAAAAACAAGAGAGGTAAAATGATGTACACAAAATACTTCAGTGTAGTTTTGAAAAAGACATTTAAGATATTAAAATGGATCAGAATGTATTTAGGGTGTGGTAATTTCAGTTAAAGTACAGTAAGAATGAATCTTTTTTTTCAGAGTAATGTAGAGTGAAATTCAGACTTTAAACCAGGTATTAACTATTTTAATTGTTATTAACAGGTTATTAACACTTTCCATCTTTAATTAATAGGTTAGTCTTAACCTTAACTTTTATTGTTTCTCAATAAAAACTAGTGGAAATTTTTATAGCTATAAGGATATAATCCCTATCTCCTGCTAAAACAGAGCTGATAGACTCTCATCTGAGTAAGTAGTGTATCAGTTGGTGACTCCTGTCTAAGGCAGCTTTACACCTCAGCTGAAGAACAATAAGATGTAAGAATTCTTACCGGCAGGGAGTAGAGGAGAACTGCTGCAAACAGGAGCAGGATCAGCAAGATGATAAGGCCTATAAAGAGCCACTTAAACCTGCGCCACACAATAAATTTCATTGTCTTGCAGGGATTTGTAAACCAAAGGAAGGAAGTGTCTGGTCGGCTGCATTTGGAAAGAAACAAATATTATTTATCCTATAAAAACAGGGAATACTTAAGCATGAGGTTATAACACATCAAAACATGCTGGTTTGGAGGTTGAAGAAAACAGTTAGGTAATGCAAGACAGCAGCTTCAGTAAACATGTGCCATTAATACTGAAACCATTCTGCATTTTATCCTAATGCTTGAAGAGGGAAACAGGACTGATTTTTATAAAATGAAGTTTTGCAAAGGATAACTCATACCTAATAGATTATATTGCATGCAGATTTGGTCAAGAACATCACGCATACTGGATATTTCCAAAGCTAGTGGGAGAAAAATATCTTACTTTGGTAGATCGAGTTTGGGGTTCATATTGGGTTCATCTCTTCCTTTACCAGCTGGCCTTTCCTCAGCTTCTTTTTCATTGACAACTTCCAAAGTCATTTCAACTTTACCCTTCAGAAAAAAAATGGTGGCATGAGACAAGCATCTTACTGGAACAGTGTAATAGGACTTGCTTGGTACTTATACAGCATAGCTTGGGATCAGCTCATTGTGTGCATCTCTGTGTTTCCCATTTCCTTCTCAAAAGATACTGATTTCTGCACTGTGAAAGTGTCACAACAGTATCAGGGAATGACACATAGAAAAAGACAAACCACCATATATAAAATGTTCTACTAATTCATCTATAGTTCTGTTTTAAGCCATACATTTTTTTCAATTTAGCAAAACAAAATCTCTTCTTGAAGAGCAACCCAAGGTCTACATATTTTCCAAATGGCCAAGCATCTCATTTTTCATACTGCTGTGGCTGATAGATGTTTCTGAATGTTTTTCCTCATTTACTAAATTACAGTAATCAAGTTTAAAGGTAAAAACGTTAGAAAGAAGAAGCAGACACACTTGAAAGGCTTAACATCCTACAAATGATAAATATGCATTTATATTCTTCATAGAACATGTTAAAATGCTTTTTGTCTTCTGACTGAATTCATAATCACAAAGCTAGTCTGTGTTCTCAGTATGGGAATTTTATTTGCTGCGTACAAAAATCCTTCAGATTTAAAGTTTTTTCTTTAGTCCTTAATGCCTTTAGGATGTCTTATGTTTCTCCACAGCAATAATGTGATAAATTACAGAATCACGGAGTAATTTAGGTTGCAAAAGACCTTCAAGATCATCCAGTCCAAACTTCGACCAATTAGCACCTTGTCAACTAGACCATAGCACTAAGTGCCATGTCCAGTCATTTCTTCAACCCCTCCAGGGATGGTGACTCCACCACCTCCCTGAGCACTCTATTCTTTCCGTGAAGAAATTCTTCCTATGTCCAACCTGAACCTCCCTTGGTGCAGCTTGAGACTATGAATTCATTCACATAATAACTTTATTGGCTGCTCTGTCAAGATATTACTCAACCTGGCACCAGAGACTTTTAAGTTAAACAGGGTTAAAACCAAACTAAATAAATAAAGTATTAAACTCACACTTTAAAGCAAGAAGTTGTTCATGGGCCAAATTCCTGAACTTGTGCATGGAGTATTCTATCTACCCGTCCTCTAACCAAGTTAACAGCTAAGAGAGACTTCACAGTCTTTCTTTGCAAAGGCAAGGTGAGCATGTTTTAAGTACTTTGTAAAGAAGTAACAATCATACCGCTAGGATACGGGAGCCATCCTTTTCCACATAGCATGGCCACCATCCCTTCATGGACTTCTGTTCAAAGAGAGAGGCAGTCCTGGGAGCCTTCTGAGAACCATCTGCCTTGTATTCTGGAATCATGTCTATATTACACTTCTCTGGGACTTTTGCTGGAATGATTGTTTTATGCAAATCAAGCTCCACAAAGCCTAGGAAGCAGAAAAGAAAATAAACACTGAATAACAAGCCATACCTCATAGGGGTTCAATATCAACCTTTCCTGTCTCCAAACATATTATACAGGAAAAATAACCAACAGACACACTATATTCTTGTTTGTCTAAGGATGTTGTGAGGCAGGGAAGTGGGACTCATCAGGCTGTGTTTAAGCCCACCTTGCTGGTGTTGATAAATAGGATTTAGCACCTCCCCATTCCTTAATGCAAGATCCCTTAATTTTTAACAGAGAATTTTTTTCCCCCCACACACCTAAACAGAAGATACCCAAATGCAGTGATGTAATATGCAATTCCTGATAGTTAAATGAATGATTCAGCTAACTTTAATGATGGTTATAAATCAACTATTTGTTTTCAGATTTCAAGGCCTATATGGTTCATATGTAAGCTAAAGACTTTGGAGCTGTCTTAACACAGGGCAGAGAATCTTCTGCAGAGCAGTAGCTCTAGAGAAGGCAGGGATTAATAACACTGTAGAGTGCTTACACCTAGATTACAGCTTTATGTCAATACTCTTACTTAAACTGAAGTACTCTTGTTTAAGAAATTTTACTTAAAAAAAGAAGCAAAGTAAATTTTCATGCACTTCATTGTTTCATGCACTTTGTGAGAGAATTTACCTGAATGAAAGGTAAGTAGGCCTCTACTGAGTGAATATTCACTCATTCATTCATGTTAGTCTGTACTGTGGGAAAGCAGGAAATGTATTTGCATGCTCATGTTTTCACTCTTCAAACACAACCCTTATGAGACATTTTAAAATTGTGATTTTTATCTCTTTCTTTGAGACACCATTAATTATTTTATTAGAAGTCTTACCCAGGTAGTCATCCAAGGAGAACTTGTCATTATCCCATATTTGAATGATCAGTTTGGGTGGGACTCTGAATTCTGTCTTGTCAAGACTCCAAAAATGTTCCTAAAATTTTAAAACACGAAACTCAAGCACCTTTAAAAATGACTTATGAAAACTCAAAGCTGTGGTCTGTTAGTACTTGTGAATTCTGAGGTTGGTGGAAGTATTAATGATCTAATCTTCCCCTTGCTAAAAGGAGACTGTTGTTGTTGTCAGTGTGTGGTTCCCTGCTCAAAGGCAGAACTGAATCTATTCATAGCAGCAGTTTGAGGAAAATGTGTGGAACTGAACCAAACTGGCTCTTTCAATATGCAGGTACAAAATCTGTATTCTAAGTATTGAAATCTTCAGAAATACTTACCTTCTTGGAAACTACACAGAGTTGCTCAGCTGGGAGATAGTCAAAAGGAAAAACAAATCTCCAGTTAAAGTTCCCTTCACCATCCAACGATCGGTAATGAACATCAGTTTTCTGCTTATTTTCTTCATTACCAGGCATCCACCTGAAAATGCAGAGATGTGCCTGGTGTTTGCAGTGGGACTACACTGGTGACTGTTTGTACAGTAACTGTGCCATTAAGGGATTGCAAATAAGGTGTCAGTGTTGCTCACAAAGGGCTGGAGAGCTAGTCATGACCCTTCTCAGTTTGGTTCCAATTTGGCACTGTAAATAGGATCATCTGAACTGAATTTCTGGTCTGCTAAGACCGGTGTTGTATGTAAGTGGTGAGTTACTGAGTCTTTTTTAGGAGAAATTAGATCAATATCCTAGTAGTATATTTCTGTGATTTCTATTGATTTTTTTTACATTAAGACTAGGGAAAGTAAAAATTAAGAATCCAGTTCATGCAGCACCAAAGCTAACTCACTATCTTTTGGTTGCTGCCCATCTCAAGAGATGAACTTCACAGCACATTAACTGCTCATGCTTTATCTCACTCTGTACTTCTCTGAGATTAGCATTTAACTTGGCTGAACCAAAGCATCTTTGGCCGAGGCACTGCCAGGACTTTCTGAATATTATTAATTTGTAAGTGTTACATGCCAAGGTGCTCCTACCCCTTCACATAAATGTCACTCATTTCTTCCCCTGTGATGCTCTTTTCATCCAGAAGGACATCTTTGGTGTTCCAGACAATCACCCGCAAGATATACCTAAGAGAGATGTTTGGGAAAGAGAATTGAGTTGCCTTTGTCAGGGCAGCCAGATGGTATGTGGTACATAGTGATACTCACTTCTTGGCTTTTCGGGGAGTGATGTTGAACGGAGGGCCTGGTGGTCCTAAGCTTTTGGGGAAAACATCAACCCACATCTGGAGCTTTCCCTGTAGCAGTGGAGAAGATGGATGAGGGATTGTTTGTTGCAAACAGGTTTGTCATGGCAGTTCCATGGAACTGCTTATTGCTATGGTCAGTACTAGTTTTAGTGACCTCCCTCATGTACCAATGTCAGAACTTCTACAGAGTTCAGACAGGAACAAGCCCAGTCCCTCAAGTTATGTAAGCTTCTTCAAGGGAACAATGTCAAGAATTCAGAAGATGGTAGGGACATTAATTCTTAGGGAATCGCATAAGTTAGGTGCCTAAATAGCTCTCACTCTTTTCTCTCAGAGGTGGTATTGAGTACAGTGTCATACATAGTTCACAGCTGACAGCCTATCCTGTGCAGATATCAGTCCCCTTAACTACACTCTAAAGTAAGGCATCCACTGCAGATTTTACACTCTATTGCAAATAAAAACCTCTTTATTTTTCAAGTAATTTTTCTGTTTTCTGCAAAAAAACCTTTGAGTTTGAACTAGCACCTCTGACCCTTGTAGAGCAGTAAGTTTGGTCTCATTTGCTGAATGCAGCTAGGAGGCTCTTGAGCCAGGTTGTCTCCTTTGTTGTTGGTGAGGTATAAACACATAACCCAGTTTATTTCAGTAACTAAGCGATAAATCTTTCCTAATTCCCATTCTGTCAGTGTTTAAGATGCTATTTGGAGGTCTCAATGGCAAAACATGACTATGTTTTGTTATGTTTCTAGACTAACCTGCTGTAGATTTTCAGCCAAGTCATAATGATTTGTAGCCCTCTTCCCCCTGAGTGATACCACTCTATTGACAACATGAGACAAATGCCAGAATGCTCCATTTCTGCATTCAAGGAACCATAAGTAAGCCAGTTCACAGCACCTGGGAGATGTTGGGCTGGAAGGTGCTATATAAGGTCCTTGTCTCCACATGTTCAGGTACCAAGCCCTGGGTTCTGAGGATATGAAGGGCTAGCCTCTCTTCACCTGGACCAAGATGCTGATGCAAGATTTTGTTAGCTTCTGAAATAAAAGAAATGGAAAAAGAACAGGGGCTCATGAACCAAAAATTTTGAGAAACACTGAACTTTTGGAGAAAAAATTTAAACCCAGATATTTAAAACTGAGAAAACTCTGCTCAACTTTAAAAAAAAAAATCAAAGATTTTTTTTCCCAGTATTCCACAAATAACTGAAAAGTTTTATATTTGTATCAATGTGAATTTAAGACAGAAGTAGGAAATAAATGAATGAACTCACCAGCTTCCTCCAAAGTATAGTCCTGTCCCCCGTAGTTGATCTTTCTCCCATTCTCAGAGAGCACAGGAGGAGGATAACCTTTAAACCTGGCTACATTTTGCAATAGCTGGGTGGGTTTCAGTTGATCACGCCAGGTATTTACACCTGAACTTTTAGAAAAGCAAAAGGAAACACATCCTAACATTATTCACTATTCAGGACACTTTCACATCATGTAAAATGTATCAAACTATTTCAGAAAGGGCAGCACTGTAACTGGCTAGATTGAGGCCACTTGAGTTTAGTACAGTGAGATAATTTTGTATCAGCTCAGTTACCTTCCAAGACAGAGTGCTTTTTACTTCACATATCAAAGTAATTTACACTAACAGATACTTTCATATTTATTTCCACAACTAGGTCAGAAAATTCTTTTAGGTGCGATTTCTCTGGACAGAAATAACATGTATTATCGTATTAAGAGAGTATTAAAATGTTTGACATCATGGTTTTCAGTCAAGGCTGTTCTGAAGACTTTACAGTTTAATTTGGAATTCAGATTATACAATGGGCACAACAAATACCCATGAGAAGCCACAGCATTGTTTTTTAACAGTAGAATTGAGATTCAACAGCCCAGATTGTTTTGGAGACTGAGTACTAGATCTTAGAGACAAACATTTTCAATAGACAAAATGACTTACACCCAGTACTGCTGTGGGATGCCACAGTGAGATCCGTAACGAGAAAGGAATCTGTTCTCAAGATCAATGATGGTTTCACCCACTTTTTCATCACGAGTCAATGTGTCATAGTCATAGACTGAAATTTTCAGATCCTTTTCTTGAGGTAAGAAGCAGCTGAGTTCATACATTCTAAACATAAAAACACCCAGTTATATGCATAACACAAGGTGGGTTTAAGATATATATATCATTTGACTTTGTGCAATTTATCCATGTGATACAGAAAATCTATAGCTATAGAAAATCTATAGACTAGCCAAACATCTGTGTTGTCCAACGATTTTTTCAAAGGGAAACCCCTTATACAATTTTACTCACAATTAACTGTCAGCATATATTTACGCATAGAGCACGGGATATTTCAAATAATGGTTCATCTTAAAAAATCCTAAAATCATACAATTATCCAGGTTGAAATGGACCTTACAGATCAACTAGTCCCAACCCTCTGCCATGGGCAGGGACACAAAAGGTTGTTCAAGGCTTTAGCCAACCTGGCTTTGAACACTGCCAGGGTTGGGGCAGCCACAGCCTCCCTGGGCAACCTGTGCCAGTGTCTCACCACCCTCACAAGAAATAGCTAACCTAAATTTCCCCTCCTTCAGTTTGGATCCATTACCCCTGCAGTTCCTAACCATGAGTTCCTCTGCAGCTTCCCTGTAGCCCCTTCAGACACTGGAAGGTTGCTATAAGGTCTCCATGCAACCTTATCTTCTCCAGTCTGAATAGCCCCAACTTCCTCAGCCTGCCCTCATAGAGGAGATGCTCCAATCCTCTTATCAACTTCATGGCCTCCTCTGGACTTGCTCCAACAATTCCATGAATTGTCAGAATATGACAATGTATGAAAACATTCCAAAATACAGTAAATTGAAAATAGAAAACAAGTTTGTTACCTGCCAAAAATTGGGTTGAGAGTGTTAGGCACATAATTATCTCTGTCTTCAATGACTTTTTTACTCAGAGTTATTTTTATATAAGGATCACACTATATAAAATAAGAAAAAAAAAAGGTTAAGAAAGAGTTATTAAGGCTAATTTTATTTAAAATATACTACAGCAGTTAGTTCACAGAGATTCCCAAAGGAAAAAGTCTCACCAGCCCATTGTTATCCTGGGGCTGGAGCTGCAAAGCTCGGACGATGTAAATGCGCACGATGCACTCCTGAGGACCACTGTCTGGCAGCTCCCGGAACTGGCGAGGAGGAGCTGGAATAGTGGGATCATCAGGTAACGCATAGATTTTAAAGGACCCCTAAAAATCAAAGACTCAGTCAAGATAAATGTAGAAAAGTCACTCTGCTAGGTTTGGTTTTATTCTTATTCATCCGACACAGAAACATTCTATTTTATATAGGAATAGTAAAATTATAGCCTGATCCACAGTCACAAGTCTTTGGTTTTACTTTAGTGGGTTAGACTTACTACAAAGTCAAGGTTATAGCCTTTGCCAATTTAAATCAATTCAGCTGTTTCAATCTCAACACAATTGACAGTGTGTTCCAGCATTTGTTTCCCTTTCCAAAAGCGTCATGTAAGGTTTGGTATTTTTGTATGTTTGTTTGTTTGGGTTTTTTTCCTACATTAGCATTATTTTCATCTATAAAAGTCACAGAGACACAGAAATAGTACAAAATACCTTTTCAAATTCGTTCTAAAAATGTACCTTGCTCACAACATCTGCAGGTAAAACTCTGGTCCTGTTCATGAGGTTATCAGGGAAGGTTCTGTCCCACAGGTACCAGGGAAGTTTATATTAGCAGGCATGATATAAATTATTCTGCAATACTTTTCGTGGGAGCAATGTGTAGTTGAACCTTCCTTGAAAGAGAAGGACCTGTACCTAAGTAGTTACAAGCATCTGTTGCCCCTACTAATGCATACAACCATATTTAAGCTGAAACATTTGCATGTAGACCTACTTAAATAATAACCACTTACATACAAAAGACTGCAGGTAGTATTTGGTTGTTGTCTATCACTTGAACTTTACCTTGAATTCCCCAACCACTGATGGGTCATCACTGTCCTCAGATTTACCTCTGTAGAGTTTAAATGTATCACAGAAGTCTGTTAAGTTATTAAATTCAGGTACTTTTTCCAATTCACAGTCGTACACCTTAAAAAAAAGAAGCAGTTAAATGAAAGATGTGCAGTTTAGAAATTATCACATGTATCAGCTCCACCATTGTGGCACTGCAATGTGTATTTTATCTTTGATGGAGTATTTTAAGGGTACCAAAGCATTTGGAAGAGTTTTTATTTTTACATCAAACTGGAAGCAAATGCAATGTCTGGAAAACATGTGATGGAGCTTCATTTAGGCCTTGTTACAGAGTAAGTGTCATGTCATAAGCCTATCTTTGCTTTCTTTGTTAGGTGGTTTAGATGAGAATGGAAGTGGTCTGACTTCAAATTTTAACCAACAAACAGCAGAAGTATTTTTTTCTCACATCCAACCCAGACGCTCTTAATAAGTGTAGTTAAGCAGAAGAGAAGCAAAAGTATGTTCTTAAAACCTTCATTTCACAACATGTATTATTAATGAACCTTTACAGAAAATCATGTACAGCTAAATTTTGAAGAGCATTTAAATAAAGAAAGGGCACATCTATGACCAGGTCTTGTGCCTATAAACACTGAGATATGGTAATTTGTTTTATCCTGAGCAATACCTTTAAAGTGTCATATCCTTTTTTAATATACTGTCCACATTTTTCATGTTCTCCTATTGAAGCATAAAATTTGCTCCACCAATCAACAATTTCTTCTTCCTTAAAGAAAAGCAAATAAAAAAAGTCTTTTATTGGGAGATAAATCCTCTTATATAACACTATACAGCAGAAATAACGAACAGTTAAGCATAGTAAAAGCTAATGCACTCTAAAACTTATTATCAGTTAGGTAATATTAAGGGTTCATCTGAAAGAGAATTGGAATGTAAGTATTAAGGCTAAAAAGATGGAATGTCTCTTACCTGAGTTTAGAATCATAGAATTATCAAGGTTGGAAGAGACCTCTAAGATCATCAAGTCCAACCATTAACTTGTCACCGCTGTTCAGGGATCCAGCTGTGTTGATAGTCAACATCCAGCCATCTCCAAGCATCACTTACTGGTATCTAGACACCTCTCTCAAAGGTGTGTGTGGGACGTGTGCATATTTCTCTCCTCCACCCTCTGGCATGGCAGCACAGCCCAACCACCTAAGTTCTAAGTTACCCAAGTCAGAGGTTGAGCATGCACACTCCACTGGTGCAGTCATTCATTCTTTCAGCTGGTAAGGAAGAACACCACCATATCTGGTACTCATTACAGGGATCATGTGAGTGTAAGAACTACAGTGACCACATTGAAAACTCTCCTGAGGGATAAATATGCTAGTTGATTTCAGCATTCCTAGTTATTTTAAAACTGCTGCCATATAATATTGCTGGGACAGACCAGTAACTGCTCTAACCATAAATCATTCCATGAGCACCAGGGAAGATTGCCTGTATCAGAATAGAGACTTCCAGTTGAAGATCTACCTTCATGTTACCAAAGGCAGCTGAAAAGAAAGAGCAGCAAGTCTTGCCCTCTAATAGTACTTCAGTAAGCCTCATGACACTCTAGATACAATCTATACATTCCACCAACACAGTATTTCTGTAGGGCTTTTTGTATTTCTATTTATATAAGTCTGATAATCACTGTGTTTAACCAAATGCTATTATCTGTATTGAGAGGGATTGCTTAATATAATTATTTGCCCCTGAAAACATACCTTGATTAGTGAATAGTATTCATTCACTGTGAATGAACAGAATGAATAGTGTTCATTCAGTGTGTAAATCTGAATTTTTTTCAGATTGTTTGGATTTAAAGAGACTCAAAAAGTATTATACAGATCACAAATGTGAGGGGTTGTTTTTTGTTTTTGTAGGGTTTATTGTTTAATATCTAAGGCTTCTTATTTCAGTCTTGCATACTTTTAAAAAATTTAGTATTTTACAAGTTCACTGTAGGTTTTATGTCAAACATTTTCAGAGATTGCTGTTCCCACCCACATGCTTCAAATGCTAATTTAGAGACATTATTGATAAACTGACTTTCAACTGGCAATGTCATTTACAAGAAAGAAATGTGTAGATTTTTAAAAGGAGTATACGTTACCTTTTCTGTAAGCTGCTCATGAGGATCGAGTCATAAATAAAAGAGCAAAACAAAAACAATGTTAAGGATATGATTTCTAGAATTTTATACAGTTAAACAGGCTATAAAAGTTTAGGGGTTTGTATATAGAATGTATGTGAAGTAAGTTAGTAACATCAATAATTTAGAAATGCTTTTGAAGAATATTCAGATGCCTTGTGTTTAAATTGATTTTTTTCCCTGCTGTCAGCATGTTCTAGATATTAAACTGAGGCACATATATATATGAATTTTAAAAAGCAGGTTTTCAGGACTGTAAGACATTATCACCCTGTGCTTTGCTCTTCACATAACAAAGCACAACTGAGAGGAACTTGTTTTTTATTGTATATTCTAGTGTTATAATCTGAATTCTATTTATTGATTTTCACAGTAGCATCATTCCCTGCTTTCATCTGTGGTTGCACAGAGCACTAGATCTCATTTAGTTCAGAAGAAAAATGTTTCTAAGAGCATTTACAAAACTGAACCTATTCCAGAAATCCTTTTCCAAACAAATTGCACATACATAAAATTCCAATTTTCCCCCCCTTTTTGACTATTTGCTTCTTTATAAAATAATTTGCTAATGCTCAACATCCTTTTCCCTTTTCTCTCTACTATAATTTAACAATTGTTTACAGGCTGTGGATTTTCAGGAGTCTGAAAAAAAACATGAAGAATTCTAAAGTACAGTAACAACCAGTATATGTCTGTCTATAGATTTATCCACGTAAGTGTACAAAGAATGTGCACAATCCAAAATGCTTCACCTGTTCAATCACAGATACCACAATTATGACCCAACAATCCATTAAGAGCAAGCATCAAGCATCCCATCTGGAAGCCACAATTAGCAAGTGCTATGTTTACGTATTATACCTTGTGTTTTCATCAAAAGTATTAGCCATAAATTTTTGTGCAAAGCAGAAAAAATGTGCAAAACATTTGATGAGTAGAAGCCAAATGCATCAATAGGTCAGGACATCACTCCGGTATATCATACTCATTCTCTCCTATTTCTGTTCTGTAAGTAAACATCTTTCTGGGATCTTCAGGTCTACTGTATTTTACTAGTCTTGTCTAACTTTACATCAGAAATACACCATAATTTATTCAGATTTGTATGAGACTGTCATTTTCTAAGGACAGTTGGCGTGATTTTTTTCTCCATATCATAACATATCTACTGATTTGCAAAACTTATAGGCAGAATTCATGAGGTAATTTTTAATACTTTGCCATATTTAAATTTCACTTTGTTTAAACACTGGTTTGCAATATTGACCATGTGAAGAGTGCCTTGCACAATTATGCAATAATAATTTAAAATCCCAATTTTAAGCCTTTTTACAAAATATACTGTGTAGAACTCTGAATCTTTCATCAAAGCATGATGTTGGAAGTGTTTAAATTAGGCTTTATGTTTTGGATTATTTTTTTTTCTTCCCCTTTTGATATACCTTCAAATGTCTCTTCAAGTAATGCACTTGGGAGTTTGGGTAAGAAGAGGTTAAGGAAAAAAATAAATCAAAACCTTAAGACCTTCTTTAAAAATTCCCAAAGCAAGTGATAGCCTTCAGTATTTGGATATTATTGCTACTAGAAGTTGTAAGCAGGATGTGTTCACAGAATGCCAAAAAGAAAAGAATAAAAAGCCACATGAAAAATTGGAGATTTTGGAGTGAAATATTTACATGACAAAAACAATGTAATGGTTACTGTCCTTTTCAAAATGTACCCACTGAAGATTGTTATATATTAAATTTTTAAGGCACTAACATGGAACTATTAGCTTTTTGAACATTTTGGAATGATGCATAAAAAATTTAAGAGATGAAGTGGATCCTTGGAAAAATTAGAGTTAGAATTTTATTTATCATAGAGTTATTTTATTTTCCAGAAATTAGACTTCTAAAAGAAGTTTAAATATCAATAGTGTGCTTAAATAATTCCTGTTGATTTTGGTGCTTTTAGCATGCAGATTCCAAATATGCTGATGCACAAAATGAGCTTTTAGTAGTTCACAGAAATTGTGTATGTCTAGTAAGACTTTCAGAACAAGGATACCTTAATATTTGTAACTAATCATACTAGACTGGTGAGCATCATCTCCTCCAAAATCTCTCTATGGCAGAACTGCCAAGAGAAGGACACCCCTGTCACCCCTCACATCCTTGCCCCAGCTGCCCCGTGCTGGTCACTGCATGCATGAGCTCGGTCCATACATACATGCACTGTTGTTGGAGAAGCCATTTTGCTGAGTGCTGTTGACATACTGCTTAAACACTGGAAATTGGAATGTCATCAATGAAATTTTGGCATTTTGTGTCCTCAGGGTGTTCTCTGCATAGCACACTTTGCACAGTTGTACTTATTTCAGTTTGAATTAGTTTGAATATTCATTCCTTTAGCAGGGATGTTATCACTGTATCTAGTGTTATATATGGCTTGGGTGATGGCAAACTAAAAGAAATTGTTTCACCTTATGCAGCATTTAAAATTTTCCCTTTATAGGTGAAATCATCTACACAGATACATTGATTTTGCCAGCAACCTTGAAGTGCTAAGTCTTTATTTTCTAAGTATTTATCTAAATAATTATCCAAATATTTTTTCTTAAAAATCTTAAAGGAAATAATAATTGTCTGTACCAGCTAGAAGGCATTTATATTAGAAAAGACAACCTATTTTAGATAAAAGTTTGAGACTGTTCTAAATTGAATATTAAGGAAAATTTACATGTGTGATGACAGTAAATATATGACCATGGCCTGTGAGATACTAAAATTATAGTCTGACTATCATGATGTTAAGATACAGAAGAAATGAAGGAAGAAAAATGCAATCACTAATACACTCAAGTAGCAGTGAAAGTTCAAAAGTTAAATTCAGTAGTATTTGCTTTAAGAGATCTGTAGCAAAATGAAATATTCTGCATTTGCAAAAGTCGAAGTTGTGGATTAAGAGCCTGAAAAGTTACTATATATTAGAAGGCGTAATTTCTGTACTTCCTTTAAAATAACAGGCCATCAGAAATTTCTGAAAACACCTTCTAGGGAAGAGAAACATTTTACAGTCCTGAAGGAACTGAAATTTTTTTTCTTTAAAAGGCAGTGTTTGGAATTTGTCTTCACTCATGTTTCAACTCAAGAGTAAAATTCTGCAAGCTGAATTATTTTTCACCTGGAAAGTAAAACTGTATTGTGGTGGTCCTGAAAGAATCAGAGCAATAAAGAGATTCACAAGGCACAACAGAAAAGGAAAGTAGGGAAGTGTTAGTGCAGAAAACATTGTTTCAGTGGTATTGGGTCGGGATGACTAGAAGGCAAGAGAGGCAAAGCCATGACTGTGACAAAATGAAAGGCTGAAGGTCTGTACCCATCAAATCATACACATTCTCCTAACTCCTTCATCTAGAACTGCTCAGGCTGTGCAAGATCAGGCTGCCCACCATCAGTGGGCAACATGTGCTTTCAGTAGCTATTGAACAAGTGAATTAATTCTTTAGCTACTGGATGAACTTTACCAAGCACAAAATACTATAGCATGATGTTTACACAAAATGCTATAGTTTGATGTTTACTCTATGAAAACAAAGGTTAAAATGATCAAGATGTTTCCTTTGCTTTCCTGTCACAAAGCAGCTTTGTTCCATCTGGCCTTCCAGAAGGTTGCATATGTTTCTGACAATTTTGCTGTCTCAGAAATCATAGATCAGAAGAAAAAAATCAAGCATCAGACTTCAAAGATTACCTGAGCCGTGAGCAGTGGCTGTGTGTCTTCCATATCAATTACTGTATCCAGGCGAGGTGCAGCAGAGAGCAGGCTAACTGTAAGCCAAAGGTTTGATTAAGGCAATATGGTGTAAGAAAAATATCTTACTAAACAGTTTCATCCGATTTGAAATCCAAACAGTTACAGAAGATGTAAAATATTAATTGGCTATATGTTTGATCCTCTAAAAGAAGCAGGTAGTTCCCATTTTTTGCTGAAAATACACAATATATTTTTGTGCAGGTTACACTAATTTTCCCAAATATATAGAATTAAAAAAAAAAGCATAAAACTTGGAAAAAATATAGAGGTAAATGTCAGTATTGTATTCAGAGCATTCTTGAGGGAATACTGGTGCCGTTGCAGGGGCGATCTGCAAGCAGTTAAATCCCAGGCTGATACTAAAGAGGAACTTGGGGGAACTAGCACACCAAGTCTGACAGTGGACTTGCCCTTGCATTATGTCCTCTTACGCCCCACAGAATATTGCACTAATTAACACTCCGTGTTAGATGCTTTTTTCTTTCAGATAACATTATCTCCAACTAAGTATGCAACCTGAGATGGCTATTCATCAGCGAGCGAACACTGAAGGTAGGTGATTCTAGTGGCTTGTACTAAAGTAGAACGTGTCATTTTCCAGTTTTCTACCTTTCAGCTGTGGTGCAATGTCTTCTTTAGTAGTGTAAGGGTCACAGCGAAAGCTTTCCAGTAAATCAATAGTACATTGTCCCACGATGGGCTTCCTTCCAAATGGTCTGTGGTCTATTACTTTAATGACAAGAGATGGACTGTACAACTCCTCCTTCGGCAAAAGCTAAAAAGAAAAGGTTAGAGGTTTTTCTATAATGTAAACAGAAGAAAAGCAAAGAATAAAGATTTCCCCTCCAAATCAGAGCTGTTACTTCATTTATTTAATATTGAACTACTGTGTTCTATGGCTGAAAATTTCTAAGCTGAAGAGCCAATAAAAGTCAGTAAAAATAATTTTAACTTCTTCAAATATTGAATTTTTGAGTCATGCACAGCTCCCTTCCTAGCAGTAAAAAAGTAGCCACACATCTACAGGTAAAAATAGAAAATACACAAAAAATGTATAAAAAACCATAAAAAACCATAGATATTAATATAT